CACCCACAAATAATGAATTTAATATAAACAAAGGTGAAACTAAGTTACAAAAAACCCATAAAATTTAATTCTAGGCTCAAAAAGGGTAGATAAATGCATATAAAAATTAAACTTATCATCCAGCACCTTCGAGGATATTATCAACCTCTACCGTCTTCCTACTGCCATCATGGCCTTCTCTGACTGCCGGAAGAAGGTAAAACTGGAATATCCTGACGTGGATGTGACGAAGATTACCTTCGGAGAGCAGGAAGGGGAGGTGGAGGAAAATGGAGAGAGCAGTACTGCTGACTTCCGCTCGGAGGTAACACTGAAGTGGGAGAAGGACAGTAGGGGTCAAACCATTTTGCCTCCCAAGTTCAGTTTTGAATTTGTGGTGGTGGGTGAGGAAGACGAAGGCGACGAGGTCACTGAAGGTGCTGAAAGGCCAGCTGAAGGTGCTGACCAGCCAAGTCAGCCTGCCGATAACCCTGAGCAGCCTGCGGCCAGCCCGAGCCAAACCATTGACTAGATTTGGCCTCGATTTTTTTTTTTTTTTGAGAGATATTCTTTGTAATCGATTGGAAATTAATGGAATGAATTTGATTCTTTTTTATTGCATCTGTGATCCAAAATAGGAGAAGTTAAAATGACATTGTTAATACAATTAAGTTCGAAGAAGTGGAATTGATTTCGTCCTTAATTGACGTCGTCTTCAATTGTACTGGAATGTTATTTACAAAAAGATGCCTAACTCAGAATAAAGAAAGGAACTCTCAAGGATGGAATTTTTTAAGATTGTTGACGTTCCAAACTCTAAGCACCCTTTTGCCCTCGGCATCCTGGAGAATGTATGCTCCGGGGTCCAGGACCTCGGTTACAATGTAAGGGCCTTCCCTGTTTGGTGCTAGCTTGCCATATCGGGTCTCAAACCCTGTGAGCCTAGCTTTTCTGAGGACGAGGTCACCGACTCTAAAGTTTCGAGGTCGGACTCGCTTATTGTAAAGGTTGGCTATTCTTTGTTTGTATGCTAGAGTCCGAAGTCGGGATTGCTCTCGAACTTCGTCTAGGAAATCAAGGTTTTCCCTTAGTAGACGCTCATTTTGAGCTGGTTCAAAGTGACTGATTCTTAGGCTTGGGACACCAATTTCGACAAGAATGACTGCCTCGGTGCCGAAGGCTAAGTGGTAGGGCGTTTCGCCTATTTGCACGAGACTAACTTTAGGATTTACTTTAAAGGGTAGTCTGTAACTGTAAATAAGGTAATAGAAAAGAGAATCAAAGTGAGGGACATACCTGTGGCAGTTCGGCTTGTTGTCCGGTAAGCTCACAGGACGTTGTTGAGTTCATCTACCCACTTTGTTTTCAGCTGATGTAACCTCGGATTGATTCCTTCCAAGATGGCTTTGTTGACTGATTCAACCATTCCATTGGCCTCGGGATGATAGACGGAGGTGAACACCAACTTAATCTCGTAGCTGGAGTAGAAGTCCCTGAAGGAGTTACAATTTAACTGGGGGCCGTTGTCAGCGATAATCTGGTTTGGTATCCCATATCTGCAGATGACCGAGCTGAAGAGGAAATCCTCGATTCTTCTCGAAGTCAGACAAGAGAGAGGTTTGGCTTCTACCCATTTGGTGAAGTAATCAACAGCGACCACTAAATGCGTTGCTCCTCCTACTGCTTTGACAAAGGGGCCCAGAAGGTCTACTCCCCATTGAGCAAAGGGCCATGGTGCAATCATGCTAGTGAGTTCTTCGGCTGGCTGATGGGTGAGATGGGCGAAGAACTGGCATTTGTGGCACCTCTGCACGAACCTCTTTGCATCTTCTTGTATGTTAGGCCAATAGTACCCTTGCCAAAGTACCTTATGTGCCAGAGTCCGGGCTCCCACATGACTACCGCATACCCCCTCGTGTACTTCTTTTAGTGCATACTCTGCTTCATATGGTGTCAGGCATCTGAGGAGAGGTAACGAGTAGGACCTCTTGTACAGAATGTCGCCAATCAGGGTGTACCGAGAGGCTTTTCTTCGCAACTTCATCTCTTCCTGTTTGTCCCCCGGGACGGTACCATTGAGGAAGTACTCCCGAATGGGGTCTGTCCAACTCGGAGTATCTGGGTTAGTGCTGATCTCCATCACCCTCGACGTCTGAAAGCTCGATTTATTCAATATCTCGATGTACACAGACTTTGCTTCCCCAGAGTTCTCAGATGCTAACTTCGATAAAGAATCTACATGCTCATTTTCTGCTCTCGGAATCTTTGTAAGCTGGAATCTCTCGAAACGGTTTTTCAGCTCAGAGACTGCGGCTACATACTTTGCCAAGATGGGATCAATGACTTCGCACATAGAATTGATTTGGTTAACTACCAGCTGTGAGTCACTGTAAATCTGCAGGCGTTTGACTTTAAGCTCAGCCGCTAAACGCAATCCCAGGAGGAGGGCTTCATACTCGGCCACATTGTTTGTTGCCTGGAAGTTGAACTTCAAAGCGTGTTCACTCCGAAAGCTATCAGGTCTAGTTAATACTGCTCCAGCTCCTGAACCCTTGTTATTAGATGATCCATCGACATACAGGGTCCATGTTTCTGCCTCAGAATTTGGTTCCACCTTATTAGAATAGCATTCGACCACGAAATCTGCCAAAGCTTGAGCTCGGATTGCCGACCTCTACTGGAATGCTATATGAAACTCTCCCAGCTCTACTGCCCATTTGATGAGTCTCCCGGAGCATTCTGGTTTCTGCAAAATTTGTCTTAAAGGCTGATCAGTCATCACAATAATAGGATGGGATTGGAAATATGGCCTCAACTTCCTTGCAGTAACAACAACAGCTAGGGCTGCCTTTTCTGCTATTGAGTACCTCTGCTCAGCTTCCTGTAGCACCTTACTGGCATAGTATACTAGTTGCTGTTGTTTCCCCATTTCTCTGACCAAGACAGCACTGACGGCAGTATCAAATATTCCGAGGTAAAGATAAAGGATTTCACCTTCCTGAGCCTTAGTCAACAGAGGCGGCGAGCTGAGATAGGCTTTGAGCTCGTCGAAAGCCACCTGACACTTTGTCGTCCAGTTGAACTTCCGGGGTTTTCCCGTTTCGTCCTTCTGAGCTGCAGTTCTCAAGACCTTAAAGAAAGGCAGACACTTATCTGTTGATTTGGAGATAAATCTGTGCAGTGCTGCTACTCTCCCTGCCAAACGTTGCACGTACTTGGTTGACCTCGGCGGTTTCATTTCTTCTATTGCCTTTATCTTCTCAGGGTTAACCTCTATCCCCCTTCTGGAAACCATGAAACCCAGAAACTTGCCTGATTCAACGCCAAAAGTGCACTTTGCTGGGTTCAACTTCATGCTGCACCTTCTAAGGTTGTTGAACGTCTCAGCCAGGTCGGTCAAGTGGTCTTCTGCTCGAGAACTTTTGACAACAATGTCATCTACATAAACCTCCAGGTTTCTGCCAATTTGAGCCCGAAACACGATTGTGACCATTTTCTGGTATGTTGCTCCTGCATTTTTGAGCCCAAACGGCATCATCACATAGCAGTATATTTCATCTCCGGCATAAAATGAGGTTTTCACCTCGTCCTCGGGTGCCATGCGAACTTGATGATACCCCGAGTAAGCATCCAAGAGGCTTAACCTCTCATTCCCTAAGGCGGCCTCTACCAGCTTGTCTATGCTAAGCATGGGATGACAGTCTTTAGGGCAGGCGTCGTTGAGGTTGGTATAATCGATGCACATGCGCCACTTCCCGTTTGACTTTTTTACCATGACAGGGTTGGCAATCCA